ACCTAAACAAAATGTTCTTGTTCTTATGAAACTTAAGGAAAAAGAAATATAGTCATGTTGCTTGGTCTGGTATTGTTAAAATTTGTGCATAAATTTATAAGTTTGCCTACCAGCAAGATTTTATTTTTCAATTGGAACTTGGGACACATGTTGTACTAGTCTTATTATGATAAAAATTAATAAAAAAATAACAATTAGAAAACTTAATAATTGAAGAAATACTTTTATTATAGATTTATCCTTTTATTTTTAGATTCTGGGCCATCTTAATAGTGCAATACTGGTTCTGAATGCTTAGGTGTGAGTTTAAGATTATTAATTAACACAATAATTTACGAGTTACGAGTACATATCAAATTTTAACTGATTTTGAACTTTAATTTAAGTAATGAATTAACAAATTTAGTGGTTTCTCTATAATAGGCGTAATCTTAAAAGATTTCGCTTAAAAATATCTTCAGAGCATTTTCGTGAGACATTATATTTAATGCTTTTAAGTGATATTTATATTTTTGATATAATAGGTAACACTAAAAATAGTTTTCTGAAAACCACGTCAAAACCGTGTTAAAATTCGAACATCCATTTTTATAGTCGTTTAATTTACCTAAAACCTTTCCTGAGTCTTAAAAATACTATGCTGAAAAGCGCATCAAAATCGGTTCAGCCAAACACGAGATAATCGCGCACAAACATATATACATACAGGTCAGTACAGAGAAACATCTTTTGTTGAAAGTCAGTTAAAAATATCCGACTCCGAGTGGAATCAGAGATTGCAAACATTTAAATTATACAAGGAGTTTAGATGAGTCTTTTTGAATTAAAATAACCCTAAAGATTTAATCATAAACCAAAACGGATATTTATGTCTCATAAATAATGTAAAACATGCTAATGTATACAGGGAAGAAATTAATAAGCGAATTGCTTTAACGCAACAAAATGTAACGTAAACTACAAGAAGGGGCGCTAGGAGCCTGCTGTTTTAAAAAAGCCGAAATTGACAAAGTTTTTAATATGAAATGGAGAATGAGGTTTGGTAACACACTTCTTCTCAGCTGAGGACCAACAATAAAAAACACTTTATTGTTCTTTTTTTAGAACTCTAATATGCAATTAAGAGTGCTTTCTGAACTATGAACGACACCGCGACTTAAACCTCTGCCAGTTGACACTTTCTACAATTCTCTACAAACTTGTCTACATATATAATTTATTGTTCTTTCTTTTTCAATTCAGCATTTTTAGAGATTTTAGTGCATGACGTGCTTGAAATTTCGCCAACGGATATTCTGCGATTTCTTCAATTTGTAGGTATCCAACGTATGTATATAATTTCGTCCACTCAGTATTTATTTTACGCAATTTATTATGTAACTCTAATACTTTGGATTTTAGTTGCTATTTTAGATAAAAGAGTTTCCTACCATTCCAATCATAATTCATAATTATCGACAGTTTAGTCAAGTATCAAAGTATCTCGTTAATAGTCACCCATATAATATTTTGTGGTCCGATGAATAATTCTCCACTAAAATATATTATTTAAAAAAATACACTTAGTATTAACGCTGAATTCACCTGATTCTTTTGCGCTTCTTTATGGATAATGGTCTATCCATAAATAACGCAAAAAACAGGTTTGTTGTTTTCAGAGGAGTTATTCGAAATTTTCGAGTAAAATTACATTTAGTAGAGTACTCGTAAATTTGTAAAGTCAGCTTAAGTGTGATTAGTTTCCCAATTAAATTTGTTAAATTTTATTTAATCAGTTTACGCTTTTACAGAGCACTCGTGAAAGTCGAAAACTACGCCATCGGTTCGCAAAACTACGGCGGGAGACCTTGTACTGAGAAGAACCGGAAAGAAACTCAGCAAGGGCTGTTTTTTTCTCCCTGTTTTATTTCACACAAAGAAGTCTTATTGAAAAGTGACTTCATTAGAATATGAAGTCACTTTCCATTACAATATTAGAAAGTAAATACAATAAAGTTAAAATATCTAACACCATGCCTTTTTGTCATTTAGATATTCCTTAACAGTATAATATCCTTTACTTTGTAGATAATTATCTAAAATTATAATTTTTGAAATGATTTATTGGCAAATCTAATACATCACCGGAGATCTTGTTAAAGTATTGTATACCTTGACCCATGAAAGAACCTTATACCTTCTGTAACCTGTAAGAAGGCATTACTAGCTTGTTTTTATTTCTAGTGTTAAGTTTGTGTTCATCACTATGTTTGGTATACACATTAATATTGTTCTACGCTAAATTGCTAACTATGCTAAATTACTCCTTTCCAATACAAATCGTTTTTGAGCTAAACCGTAGACCGATGGACAGACAGACCGACATGACGATACTATAAGGGTTCCTTGTTGACTATGGAACCGCAAATCTGAAAATGAAAGCGACTTAGCTTGATAAAAATTGGAAAAATAATAATACAGTAGCGTCATCTAGCGAAAACAGCTAATTGTATACTTTAATTTTTTCGCCTGATTAACAATTCCCCATTAAATTAAGTTAGTGGAAGATTTTCAAAATTGAAAACGAAAAACAAATAAAGATTACAAAAAATTACAAACACAACAAAAATAAAAGTACAGTGGCGTCATCTGGTGACCTGAAGCGAAAGCTAAATATAAGACCTAATCTTTTCGCCTCATTAATAATACTCCATTTAATTATGTTATCGGAAAAATCGCAAAATTTAAAAAGAAAGCTACTTTGGTAAAAATTGGGAAAAATAAAAACTACAAATATAACAAAAATCAAAATCCCGTTTTAAAAATATAGTAGTGTCATCTATTGATCAGTAGATGAGCTAAATGTAACATATTCGTGTACTTAAAAAACATAATATATGCATAGCGACAACGATTGTACCGATTTAATTTAAATAAAACATTATTTAATCCCGCGTAAGAGTTTAAATCATTTAATAATGGATTTGGAATTGGATGTCATGAAATTTAATTACAAATTGAATTGTAAACAACGGTTTCTATAGTAACGATTTAATGCACTATGCGAACTTCCACTCCCATTTTCATCCCTTTATTTGATTTTTTCGGGATACCATATAAGACATAAACTTCCGCAGACTTTTTTGTTAACTTTTATAAGGAATCAATTTCGTAAATCTTACATGATTTTTGCGTAACTTTTACCGTTTACGCAGCGAACACAAGGAAAGCTTTAAAAGAATAAATTATTCTCCCGTTTTTGCAACATTTTCATTTCTGCTCCACTCTTATAAGCCATAGCTATTCAACACAAAAAAATAATTCGATTCGTTCCAGTAGTTCCTGACATTTTAGAGTTCAAACAAACACACTCTTCAATTTTATTATTATCGTAGATGAGAAAATCACCAGACTGATGTAATAATTCAAGCAAAACTATAAAAAACAGACAAAACATTATTTCTTTTTCATAATGCCGTCACAGCTTCAAGGAGGTTTGGATTTGTGAAAGTATGCAACCTCTTTTGAATTTCATATTATACAGAATAGAGGTATCATCCGCGAGGGTTAAGGTAGACTCTCGAAAGCATAACAGATATTCTCTTTTTGGTGTACCTACTCTTGGATAATTAAGAGGAAAACAAAAATAAATGGTATTACGCAGCTTCACTACATTTAATATAAAGAAAAAAGTGTAAATCGGTGTTTATTGGTGATGAATTCGCATAAATACTAACTAAATTTTCAATTATAGCTTGTAAACGTAAATTTATTAATATGTTAGCACTTTAATTGGAGCATTCACATTATAAATGTAATTGAAAAGCAAAATTTAAAAGTATAAAATTACAATTTTCCGGCTGAAATGATGTCATATTTTTAAAAATAGCGCAATATTTAAGATTTTACGATTCCATACATAAAAATTAGAACAGACATTTATTCATACTTCGCACTGACGCCGTTTAAAGGCTGCACTTATAAAAGAACAATGGTGTACAATTTCTTCACTTGGTTCGCTTCGATATGCTCGACTTACCACCCCACCGATCTATAACCATCTTACTTCCGCTGGTTATTTCCCAAGTAGGAGTGTACCTGACCGTTGACCTAAAATTCGGTCATTTTCGAACTCAAAAGTTAACCTTTGTGAAACCTTTCCGTGACATTGACCTGTTACGCCCTATGAACCATTATAAATTCAAAATGGTTTCGAACAAAAGCTTGAATAATAGCCTACCTGAAATACAAAGTAGGTACGTTAGTTTTTAGGGTTCGTTGCCACAATATCAAAAAGTAAACTCAGTTCGTTAGAGCAGTCGCCCGGATTGTAAAAGATCATGGGTTCGAGTATCATCTCAGAGTGCCAGGTTTTCATTAACAAAACTCTTTTAGGATCAATCAATTATCTGTCTCGCACAGTAAATGTGACTGACTGTAAACCGGTGGCATAAAGACGGACGTAATGTAAATACCTATGTAAAATTTAAAACATGCAATCACTTTTGAAGGGTAAATTTAAGAAAATAAAAAGAAAACTAGCAAACTATATTGTAATGTGTGACGTATCAAATGATAGGTCACCTCAAGGGAATAATAAAGCTATTATTTAAATTATGGTTTATCGATTCCAGGATAACCTATAAAATGTCTATTGTTTTTTTAAAATTTAATGGGGTAGATAATTGTAGTTCAACAATCCCTGTCCTTACTTGAAAATTCGACGTCGGGGTACTTATCTATCTATTGAGAAAACATGAGTAATTTATTTCATTTTACTGTGCAAATTGTCAATACTAAAATATTAATCTTATAAAATACCTACCATATAACTATTATTTAAAAACATTAAAACTAAAGTTAATTGCTCCTTTTGGGTGAAAATGAATATACAATTGATATCGTTGTTTTCAGGAAACTTTAATATTTCTTGAAACATGTAGAAAAAAATTACGTTCAGTCCATTAAATGTCTGTAATAAATAATATTTGGCAATTGAAAAAGCTTAAAAATAATCCTACCTGTGAAAAATAAGGCGGCAGCACTGCCCTCTGGTCATCAAGCCGAGAACATTGCACTCGCTCCAGTAATTCGAAAAGTTCATGTTGTGCACGAGCGCCCCCTGTCGTAGTGGAACTCCATGGCGCCGCTACGTGCTGCCGTCTGTGGGAAACAAGGTGAACTACTTACTAGCCGTTCTATGTTGTTGTCATAAATATAATATAGATGGCGTTACAAAAAATTTAAATAATTATAGTCGTTTTGATAGATGGTACTAGTAGTTCCATATTAAACGTATAATATTTTATATAAGTAAGTACATATCGACTCTGGAAAGCAAACACGTAGTAACCTGCAAAACCAAAATGGACATTTAGAGTAGGAAATCTTTATATAAAAAAAAAACTTATTTGAGTATAAATTGACTAAAGAACATTTTTTTATTACCATGGACCTTTATACGAATTATTTATCGAACAAAATAAAAGTTTTTTCTGCTCTGAAAAGCAATTTTAGTTTTGCGGGTTATTACGTGTTTGCTATCCAGCGTCGATATGGTGATTTTCAAATCCGTCCTTACTGCAAATAGTAAACGACCACAACACCCACTGGTCGCATATAAGAAATGTCAACACAAACGTTCTTGAACAGCTGATGATTGTCTTCCAATGGGATAGAAATTAATTAAGAATTAAATTTCACGAGCCATCGTGATCTGCAAATAACAAAGCCTTTCTTCCAAGGCCACCTTAGCCATCGCCCTAATTCGCCTTCGTCACGGTTCATTTATATTCATTAACGTAAACACGTACCTACTCATTTGGAAATATGCGCCCGCGGGCCGCCCTGGGTTTCGGCGTTTTACTCCTTTTTATTTTCTGTAAAACTTACAATTTTTGCAAGAAGCTTACACCTATTAAGATCTAAGTACTTTAAGTAATCCAAAAATATTTTTTTCCAGTTTTCCATTAGATAGTTTTTCGATGAGGTAAATTCAGATATAAAATAAAAACAAATACTTTGCTGTTCGTTCTGCGAATGACACTTCGGAACGAGGCTCCTAGTTATACCTATTGACAATGGTATGTGATGACTAGACAGTCTAAGATAAAAAGAAAATAGTACCCATGTCTTATTTTTATAATGTCAAGCAGGATTTGTTCTTCGAGGCCTTAAATACACATCTGATATTTACAAGCTTTTGTTTAGTTTCACTTTGTATGTAACTACATATCTACCTACCAATTCTTCACAACGCAATATTAATATGAAATTGAGGTAATTTAATTATGAAGCAATAGAATTTCATTTGTCTTGAGATATCCAGATTGATAGATAGAACCATATTGTCGATAAATTAGATAAACAGTATTTATTTTATGTTTACTTATACTTAACTATTATCATCATTTATTTTATAAAATAGGCATTTCTCGGAGAGGAGCGTACGCCACAATGTCCGTATATTGTTTCTTGCATATAAATTTCACCTCACCCACTTTCATTACTATTGGATAATTTTAACGTTTTATCCATTCTTAATTTCCTTTTTTACTTAGTTGACTAAAGATACATAAATATTACTAAAAAGTGTACATAAAATCTTTGTCATCCAAAAAATAAACTAAACTGTAAAATCCCTTTTTTTTGTTCAATGAAAAATTCAAATGAATAGTGCTCATAATATAATCAATGGTTCTTTGTTACTCAAACTATTAGTACTAAAATTCAAAACCGCTTGATAAACGATGACAGGATCATTCAGATCTGAAGTGAACCGGTTATTAACATCAACGATTTAACGCTATCATGAATATAAACAAAAGAGCACGCGATAACCACCCCATCTGTTGTCCGGCGGTAGGACTCCGTTAATAATGGTTCGAGTCAATGATTTATAGCTCAATTAACTGACCATTCTATACTCCCTCCACGCTAAACGTTATGGCCGGAATGGTTTTCCAAATTAAATCTCCCCTAGTTTTAATCTACAATAACCGGTTCGCAGTACCCAATCAGAGTTGTTTGTTTTTCGGCTGTTCGGTAATTTCGGTGATGAAGGGACGCCATTGTAATCTTATATTATTGTTGATTGGCAGATGTTCGCAACTGATAAAATGTTTGTTGTTTTTCAATTTGTCGGCGCTAACAACAACAAAAGTGTTTTAATAACCTTTTTTGGGACAGGACAGATTGGAAATTAACTTCTAACCGCACATTATAAAAATACTGTTCAATATCTTCAAACTGTGTGTTATTATGATATAGGATTATAAGTATAGCTAATTATCTAGCTCTAAGCGAAAGCTTTTTAAAAAGCATTCAAAGTAATGCGAACAAATACCTAAAGGATAAATGAAGCACCGACTATGTAGTTGAGTTAGAAGTTTATAATTTATTATTTTTCTTTGCAGAAAACTATTTTGTGTTTTGTATTTTAATATTCTATCGATAGGATGAACCAAATAAGGATACTGAGAAATCTATGAGTCATATGAAGCACATGCTTATGTGCAAGCAAACTGCATTTGTATGCTACTTGAAAATTACATACGCACCTGCCTTTTGCCGACATCCGAACATATGGTTGGCCTACAGACTGCCTAGAGATATTTAGATATATTTAAAGACGTAGACGTATACTACGTCTTTAATGAGTTATTTAGTTTTTTATTGGATTCGATGGTATACAACGTCACGTATACAAAACAAAATTTTATTTAGTTCTTTTTTCAATAATAAATTTAACTCTGATCTAGTTCTGACTGACTGCAAATGAGTGCAATTATATAAAACAATAATATAAAGTAATAATACCACTTCTATATATCTTATCGATTTTATTAACAATTTATCTGCCGATATTTTATAAAATCGCTAATTCATTAAATGGATCAATAGTACTGAATATTTTTGAAATTTAAAGCATTTTACATTACATTTCTTTGCAAAGTGAAATAGTTGCGCATTTTGTATTTTGTTAAATGATTTCCTACAGAAAAATAGTATTTTATTTGATATGTTTTTATAATGTTCTTTGTGAAGTAATTGATTGTTATTCAATATTAATGAACTTTTTCAAACAAACTGGAGTTAAATGATAATAGTGTCAATCAAATTGTCAATGCTATAATTTCCGTTTCCCTTTCTGTTGTAATAAAATTGAATCGATTTTAGAACATTTAAAATAAATCATCATCATATAGCACTTCGTCTTTCTTTTATTGTTTTTAAATATTTCATTTTTTTATCGCTAGTTTTAGTTGTTTGCTTTATTTATGTATACCTAAATGAACTAAAAATATTTTTTATCATTTTTATGTTAATTTCCCAAGAATTAACAGAAATGTTATAAATAAAATGTATATTATTAAGTATACTTAATAACATACATTTTATAAGTTTATTTTTATTAAACAAGTCTTTAATGTACTGACGAAATTGATTTTCAAGTCCTCGTGTTTCGGCGGATAAACCAAGTTGGTAAAACGCTGTCAAATGTACAATAATCATTCAGTTATAACATTCGTTTATCGGCGACAACGTTGTCGTATCCTATGGCTAGAATCATGACTAGAGGCTTAGGTGGTCGCCCCCCTGTACTGACATCGCGTTTGTCATTTTCGCCAAAAGTTGACTTCGATATTCTTTTTTATTACTTTTATAGTGTCTAAACATAATTGCTTATACGTTGTACAATTTCCACTCAATTATGTGCATAAAAAATAACTATTTTCCTAAGACAAAAATAAAACTCCATCAAGGTTTTCTTTCGACATAAACAGATGTAATGAGATCGGTAATATAAACGGTCCCTTTGTGCTAAGGCGATAAATGATGCAGAAGACGGATCGAACTGTTATTGTATTGAAGATGAAGCAATAAATATCCTGATACCTACTTGCGGCTTCCTCGTAGAATCATTAGTGGAGAAGATAGCTGTTTTTACTTGTTCGCACAAACAATTGATTTGAAAGAGATTTTTTTTATAACTCTGTTATACAATCTCTTAGACTGTTTGGACCACCAGTGGAAATTACAATAAACATTAATACATTTATAAAACACAGCTGTAATCCTATTAACATTATAAATGTGAAAATTTCTTTGTTTGGATGTTTAGATGTTTGGATGTTTGTCCGTCAATCACGACGAAACTACTGAACGGATTTTGATGAAAATTTGGTATACAGATAGGGTGTTAGCTGACTTAGATAATAGGATATATTTTATCCCACTAAACATTTCCCTAGGGTCCACGCGGGCGAAGCCGCTGGCGAAAGATAGTACTGAATAAACTAACATTTAAAAAATAAATTAGTAAAAAAGGTATTTAATAGTATAATGTAAAACTTAAAAAACGTATCATAGTATAAAAGTTAAACTTCTTCTAACTTAACAGATTAAAAAAATAAGTATTTCTTTTCTTTTCATTAAATACAAAAATAATTGGACAGCTATATTAATTAAATCTTAACATTAATGTTTCTTTGTCTTATTTTTCACATAATATCACCGAGTACCTAACATTTATAAACATTTTTGTACAATAATTTTACCATTATACTTTTCAACGATTCTCACATTCTCAAATAAGTTGTGGCACATTGTTAAGGAAATGTTACTAGATTTAATAATTGTTTTTTATAAAAGAAATAAAGTTCGTGTTGACTCTTAAATGTTCTAATAAGTTTCATATGTCGTTTAATAAAAAACAAAACTAAATTCTATGACCGTGAAATTAACAATCTGTCTTATCCGCTATATAAATCAAGTTAATTGGATTATCATTTATAAACATATGCATGTATGAGATTTTAATTATTTTAAGTTCTATTGTTTTGGGCGTCCATTTAAAACTTGTTTTATTGCAAACGTTTCAACGAGTAATAAATAGTAAAACTTGGAAGACTAAATGTTGAGGATAACTTTTAAAGAGATTTTTACTTTCTTGTATTCAACTGTTTAATTCCAAAACAACTATTACAACCTGTAATGACAACAGTTTTGACATTATTTGAAACTAGACATCGAATCAAAAGGGTGTCATTAGCGATAATAGAGAATCATGAGTACTATTCTATTAAAAATATATCTTCAAACGTAACGTTGGACACGGTGCTGTCACATAATTAGAGTTTCGATCGAGTTAAACCTTCTTC